TCTATATATAAATTTATATAGAGAAGGTTTGTACAACTTCAACTTGCCCAAAGTAAAGCAATTTTCTTTCACAGAAATGGAAACTTAAAAATTGTCAATTAGGTAATTGGCAACCAATGGTCTTGACTGAACAACGAAACGAATGTAGAGTTTAATAAAAAGAAAAATTCGGCGTTAACAAAATATTTCCATCTTCGTTATTTTCCAAAATCTCGCAATTTCTTTTTTTTTTTTAGAAAAGTCGAATGAACGATGAAACTATCGTCAGAAGAACATTTTTACACAAAACAAACACTCCAAAAAGAAAAAAAGAAAAAAAATATCCAGTTTTCGCGAAATTATGTCGAATCAAAGTGATTTGCAACGCTTTTAACGTGCTTTTGATCAATGCTACGCTAAAAACTCGATGTGACGAAAGCACCGGATATGACTTATGCGTGAATATTTATCGAGGCAAAGGAAACGTTTGGTATCAAACATTGTTAACCTTCAAATGGCCTGCTTTCTTCACGCAAAGAGTTACTTCGATTTCGTTCCACACTTTTGTTCCACCGCAACAAAATTTATCTAAAGTGCAGGGAATTACTTCGAAACGTTAGCCAACGCCAGATAATAGTTGCCATATAATTTAGATCGTCTACGATGCAAGCAGAAACAGTAAAATTTTACTGAACCGTAAAATCTTAACTAGGTTCGTGGGACAGCGATAAAAAAAGTCGATGAACATTTGCGTACACGTGTCTCGCGACAATTAGTATACTGTCGACAGCGACTAACATTCCTCAATGATCGTTCAGTCAGCTTCGGTGAAATTTTCAATTGTCATTTTTATTCAAGATACAATTACTCAAGAAGTTTATTAAGAAATTTCTTTACGAACGTGTCGCATAACGAAACGTTCGTATGTTTAAACGCGGAATATTAAAGATTTTAATACTACTTGCGCTGGTAACCGATTGCGGACCATAACGAGTGACCAACACCGTATAGAATAATTCGTCGCTTTCCTTTTGAACTTGTCGGTATGACGTCACCGGATAGAAATAATTGAGAGGTAATAAATTTACTATTTGTTTTGCCTATTTTCTTTTACTTAAATACACTCAAAACTCAGAGAATATCACAATTTTGGAAATAGATAATATAAATAAAATAGAGATAATAAAAAAATAATGAAATAATATGTACAATTATAAAGTAATAATATAAAAATAATACAGTTATAAAATATTATAATGTTGGAGAAAAATGTTACAATTTTTTATGCGGGTGTCTATTATGGGGATTCTATTGCACTAAGCTCGAGATTTAAAGCGAAGAAAACTCCTCCGATATAAAAATGTTTATAAGCTCGTACTCATCCACTACTATCTCCGTCCACAAGTCGTCGCACAAAGCAACCCTGGTACCCGTCTTAAACCACATGTGCGACGCAGCGTGCGCAATACGAGAATGATAGACATTGATAGAAGCAAAAGTGCCGACAACGTGTTAAATGCGCGCCTCAATTTATTGGAGTACAAACGGACAAACATTCGTCGATGTACAACACCATCCATTCCCGTTGTAAACTAAATTTAATACCACACTAATATACCACGGTATTACATATGTATAATTCAACAAAACAGAGGAAACTCGCCTTTACAATCTCACGCTTTATCCATTGTAATTTCGTTTTTAATCGCACGAAATCCGCGTGTTACAGCCTGGGTATTTATTCATCATCCAACGATGATTTGCTTTTCATTTTATCACCGCGGAGCTAAGATAAGGACCAATGAGAAAAAAAATCTGTTTGATACTTCCTCTCTCTCTCTCTCTCTCTCTTTCTCAGAGGAGAGGAGTTGAAAAGGAAAACAATTTTTAAGACTCGAGTAGAGTAGAAACGAAGGAGAAGAAAATCGAGGGTCGATTTCGTTCGTTTCGAGAAAGTCCACGCGACATTGAACTTGGTCCACGGTTACATATTTGGCTGCAGCCGTTGCAGTTGGATCAACTGCGCACATTTTCTGGCCCGTTGTTCCGTTAACGCACCAAAAGTCACCTAAACAGTTTGACTGCAACTGTCTAATTTGCCCGAACCGTGAAAGTAAAAGTAAAATATTTTTCTGACCGTGTCCTAAGTAAACGAATCTATGCTTGAACTTTTTTTTTCTCTGACAAATAAAAATTCGATTGATAAATTGATCGCATTTGACATAACGTTTCGCTCAGTGTGAAAGTCCTTGATATTACGAACGTGTTTCATTTATCTCCGGGGCAGGTATAGTGAGAAAATAGCGGTACAAGCTGCGCTGCGTGGAAAATTGGCAGAATATCTTTCATTCGCGTGTAACGTGCATAAAAACCAAGGTTGAGCATTAGCGCACAACGCGTAGAGGAACGCGTGTGGGCGTCGAGACGCCTTTCCAACCAACACACGCGCCGAATGATTCATGTTAGCGGTTTTCCGACAGTTTTCGGAGTTTACAAGCGACCGTTTTCACGACAAGCTAAACAATGGCTGAAGAACGTCGGTGTTTCTTCATCCAACGAGAACATCGATTTATTGAATTAAACGCAATAGAATCTTCCCTTGTTGAAATAATTTTTACTTTGTTCAAAATATTTTTTTTTTTTTTTTGCATTCCACGAAGTTTATCGTCTTCTTGTATTCCACTGGCTTCAATTTTTATTCAACTAAATGCGACAGAACAACTACAGAAATGATATTAACTTTGTTCAAGTTTGGAAAAAAATATTACTTTTTGCATTCTACTAAATTTATTATTTTCCTTGTATTCCAGTGACTTTAATTTTTATTCAACTAAATATGTCAGAATCGTTATCGTTATCGAAATAATGTTCAACTTTGTTCAAGTTTGAAAAAAAATATTGTTTGCACTCCATTAAATTTATTATTTTCTTGTATTTCACTGACTTTAATTTTTATACAACTAAATATGTCAGAACAACAGCAGAATCGTTATCGAAATATTTTAACTTTCCAAGCTCGGAAAAAAAATATTTTTTGCATTCTACTAAATTTATCATTTTCTTGTATTTCACTGACTTTAATTTTTATTCAACTAAATATGTCAGAACAACTGCAGAATCGTTATCGTTATCGAAATAATGTTAACTTTGTTCAAGTTTGAAAAAAAATATTTTTTGCACTCCATTAAATTTATTATTTTCTTGTATTTCACTGACTTTAATTTTTATTCAACTAAATATGTCATAACAACTGCAAAATCGTTATCGGAGTAATTTTAACTTTTCAAACTTGGAAAAAAAATAGTTTTTGCACTCCATTAAATTTATTATTTTCTTGTATTTCACTGACTTTAATTTTTATTCAATTAAATATGTCATAACAACTGCAGAATTGTTATCGGAGTAATTTTAACTTTTCAAGCTTGGAAAAAAAATATTTTTTGCATTCTACTAAATTTATTATTTTCTTGTATTCCACTGACTTTAATTTTTATTCAACTAAATGTGTCAAAACAACTGCAGAATCGTTATCGAAATAATATTAACTTTGACTTCGAGAAAAATACTACCTTTCACTTTCAATTTTTATTGAATTAAAAAATATTCCACTCGCTTTAATTTTTATTGAATTACTTAATTTTTAATTTCCATTGAATTGAAAAAAGAATATATCCCACTTTAATTAATTTTTTCTCGAATTAAGCGCAATAGTACGTTCCACTAATTTTAATTTTTCTCGGTAGAATCTTTCTCTATTGGAATGATTTTAACTTTGAGTTTGAAAAAATACGTTTTCTTTGTCCCGTTTCGCCCGTTGTACAGACAACCCGTTTCAAGCTGCGTTTGTCCAATTTAAAGCAACGAAAAGAGCATACAGATAACTTTTCTTTTTTGGAGAACTTCTTTCGTGTCGCATAGTCCCGCGTCACTTCTAATCATGGGATTTTAATATCTATTGTACATTAGATAGAAATTAAACATCATACGCACATTGAGCAGATAACCGTTATCTTTATTGCAACTTCTTCTATTCCTTCTTTCTTTTATTTACTGGAATTCAAACGATTGTCGAAGTTTCTGATAAAAGGATCGAAGATTTTTCAATAAAATTTCCGAGTTTCCGCTCCGACCTTGCATCAAGGATAGATCCATCGTAATCAACAAATTATACAACTCCGGCCGATACCAGCGTATATATAAAAATAGATTTCGATACAGAAAGCACACGCTAAGAACATCGACTATCGAGAATAACTATTCGGATTAGCTATTTCTTCAGAAACCTTTGCTATACCGACCGTTATCAACGCGCGTTATCACATACAGACTTGTCTTGCATAAAGTCTTGTTACGAAAATTATACAAAAAATTATATCTCTAGCTTCTTCCTTATTTTGGAAATATCGCAACACTGATTTTGATATTAAAAATAAAATGTTACGACGCGCAAAGCGATCACTAACGAGTGTTGCGTTGGAATTACATCCTATTTTTGCGATAAAGAAAAGGGAACTTTAATATTGGACACGCAGATAACGTTTCTCATAATCCCGTGCATCGTACGCGCCAAGATAGAAAACGCAATTAAATAATCCCGGTTATCTTTCTTTTAATCCGCATTATTCAGCACAACAACGTTAACGAGTTACTATATCCGGGCGATTTGTGACAGTAAAAACGCTGCCGTGAGTTTCATGAATTTTTGCCAATTTTCCCTGTGCTTGTTTGTTCAGACAACGGTAACAAACCAAGGAAAATTGCACCGAAGAGAAGGAAGAAGTTTTAACTTGGACGAGTTTTACGAGTATCATACGTTATTATATATTTGTCGCACGAATTCCTCGCAAAGCTCTCCGCAGTCACGCGTTGATTCAAACTTAAACGTTGCCAAACTATCAATGAAGTGCAAGTCCGACGAAAGTCAAATATAATTGGGGACGAAAACAAAGCGGCAAACAGAAACCTGTATGATGCTTAAATTAAAAATACACCGGGGAGGTAGTGTGAAACGTGTCTCTTACCTCTTTCTCACGCCGCGCAGGGCAGACGCGCAATTTTCAGTCTTTCGCTCCGCTTTCTCGCTCAAACCTCGTGCAACCAAGCGCATCCAATCAAATCCTCGATCGACTGTCAATTTTCACTGGCCGTGTGCGAATAGCCAAAGTCCACCCTGTCGTTGTTACCGATCGACCGATTTGTAATAATTGCTCGTGCAAAAATTGCTAACGAAAGGAAAGAAGAAAAAAAAAGAAGAGAGAGAGAGAGAGTAACGTCAAACGTCAAAAAAGAGAAATCGATCTCAGAATGTGTGTCAGTCACGTGACTGGCAACGACAATCGGACGAAATGAAAGAAAGATGAAAGAAAATGAAAGAAAGAGAGAAAGAAAGAAAGAGTGAAGCAGGGTGAAAGGTATGGGTGGTAATTCGACGACTGGATGGTAGAGAGAAATCTTTTTTGTTTAGAAAACAAAGGTGGCCTCCGCAAATATCGTCTGAGGTTAAACGTCGAGCACTAGCATGCGTCGTGCGCGAGCGACGGCGATCAACTAAAATGTGAATGCGAGCGTTTGCTTGCTTGCGCGTGTTACTCGTGCGAAACTGACTCGTTTGGCCGCGCGACTCCGCTTCGCGGCCTCGACTCACGCCTCGACTGGTGTCCCGTCGTTGGCCGTTCCCCCCCGTTGAACGTTCCTGGCGAATATAAGGGACGAGACGGGACGTGCAGGTAGTCGGCTATCATTCGGAGCAACCTGTTACGCGTTTTTCATCCCAACCACTGCACCGCGATGCCGACGTGCAGCATGATAGTATCCTATTATGCAGCCCGATCTGAGTCTTGCTTAATTCTTTTTTTTCCTTTTTTCTTTTTTTTTTTTTTTTTTNTTTTTTTGGTAAGAATTTTTTGTCGTCGTTGTAATAATTGTATAAACGGACGGACGAACGATCGATGGTTTCACTTTGTAGCTGTGCAAGCTACGCAACGTAAACCAGGGATGGGTTACATACGAGAAGAAAGAAAGCTACGAGTTTCGAGAATTTTGGAACGCTTCGCGCTTCTTTCGGTGACTCGAAACTTTCGAAATTCAATTCTCGGATGAGAAAAGTGTAGTAAAATCACATTGACGAACGAAAGAGTCATTTGCAATGTGAGTGACTCGTACCTCGAATGTTTGAGGTGTGAGATGCTTCGTAGTTATATCGAACTGAAGAATTTTTAATTTAATATACAACACGATAAATTTATAAATATGTTATATATAAATAGTATACTTAAGATTTAATAAACTAAAGAATCAAATTTTTAATTTAATATATAACGTGATAAATTCGTAAATATATTATATATAAATAGTATACTTAAAATTTATTAATAAATTAAAGAATTAAATTTTTAATTTAACATATAACGTGATAAATTTGTAAATATATTATATATAAGTAGCATACTTAAAATTTAATAAACTAGAGAATTAAATTTTTAATTTAATATATAAAGTGATAAATTTGTAAATATATTATATATAAATAGTATTCTTAAAATTTATTAATAAACTAAAGAGTTACATTATTAATTTAATATATAACGTGATAAATTTGTAAATATATTATATATAAGTAGTATACTTAAAATTTAATAAACTAGAGAATCAAATTTTTAATTTAATATATAACGTGATAAATTCGTAAATATATTATATATAAATAGTATTCTTAAAATTTATTAATAAACTAAAGAGTTACATTATTAATTTAATATATAACGTGATAAATTTGTAAATATATTATATATAAGTAGTATACTTAAAATTTAATAAACTAGAGAATTAAATTTTTAATAAATAACACGATAAATATATTATATATAAATAGTATACTTAGTAAACTAGAGAATTAAATTTTTAATTTAATATATTACGTAATAAATTTGTAAATATATTGTATACAAATAGTATACTTAAAATTTAATAAACTTAATAAAAACATAGCTCGATGATCGACTTCTCTTTTACGAGAATAAAAATTATCCGAGTCTAAAGAATTTGTCAAGAAAAATATCTTATCACAACATTTTGAAAGACTTTTCAATACATTCATGCTATACTGTAGTCGATAAAAGAAGAAGTAAATTAGGTCCAGAAAGAGTTCAAAGAGTTGATGTTCTCAAACGAAGAATTTGAATCAGATATTTTTGTTATATTCTTGTTTAACTGCGATCAAAGAGAAATTTATATAAAAAGTGCCGATTTCAGTCGTTCTTTAGAACGAAACTTTAAAAAATAAGATTTCAAGAATTTCGAATTTCAAAAAAATTTCAAGAGTTTGAGAACGTTACGAAGTTTCGGACTCTAGTTTCGAGGTAATTTAGAAATTAATTTCAAACTCGTGCTCGAAGTACGAACTACTGTTCAAAGACACGACGTTGAAATCATCGACCGAAAGATATGGATTTACGCGCAAACTGGCTCCAAATGGACCCTTGGTCGATTGTCTCGATTGCTAAAAATCTATTTCTGCGACGGGGAATCGCTGCAATTTGCCAATTGTTAACGAGCTCGTGAAATTACGAATCGCTTTGACAGTCGCACGCAGAACAAACGATTATGTTCATGGATACCTATAGGTATTAGTGGTTCTCTCATGATTCAATCGTTGGAAGGATCAATTTCCACGGAAATGAATTTTGTCTTAAAGTGGATTACCACGTAGCCTCAATTTATTCGTAAAACACAGAAATATTGACATTAACTCTTTCAATACCCAAAAACCGATGTACCGACTCTGTGACTTTTTAATACTTATACGTCTCTGTCTTATTTCAACATTTCAATACTTGGACTTGACGTCACACTTTTACGAAACGTTTCTACCAAAAAGTATGTCTGTTTTTCGTTACAATGCTCTGTAGTTCTAAACAATATTGAACGCACTAAAGAGGATTAAACGCGTTTAGATATTTATATATTTAAAAAAAAAAAAAAAAAAAAAAAAAAAAAAAAAAACAGGAAAAAGCAATACGAATACTTACGTATTTATATATTTATCTTTCTACGATATAAATTATCCCGCGTAAACGTACAAGAAATCCTCGCCTGTTTGACGTTTAACCAATTTATTAGACGATAACTCGTTATCGTTCTAACGTTTCCAAGTTAGATCTGACTTGCCTAATCGCTAAAGATAAGCCACGATATATGTATGTAACACGCATGCTGATAAAAAATGTATCTACATTAATGAATATACATGTATTACACATCATTACAACCAACAATAATTGACACGGCGTGTCATATCTTCGCGTAACTTCCTGTTAGGTTATGTCACGAACCTTTCCACGTTAACTGACGTATGTTTAATACATCGTTATAATATATGTATATCAATTCACGTGAATCTCAATTTAGTTTTCTTTTTCTCTTTTTTTTTTTCTTTTTTTTGTTAAAAAATTTAACGTTTAAACGTTTGTTCGAAGCGTGTGCGTCACTACTGACAATGCAACTCCACCAACGCCCATCAAATTGACATACAGTATTTATGATAATTCCTCGATTCTCATAAGTTTATCGACGATACCGCGATTAACGTCGATTGACGACTTAGTACATGCTTAATGGACGCGGAGGATAACAAGATGAGAAGGATAACGACGATTCGCTCACTTGTTTACGACTATCGTTTGCATTTTGCTAATGAAGAAAAAAAAGATTTCTAGTTGGTTAACACTACACAAAGTGGTCAAAATGACTAATTTATAATTTTCTATGGAAATTTTACATATTTACAACAGTGTGTTTTATACTCGAGTGACTTTTAATAAAATATATTAATAAAGGCTTGTGTCCTTTATTGCATTGGTAACTGTTTTTTTTTTGTATCTTGCGCTTGAATTTCTTTGCTATAAATATTATATTATATTTAGTATTATATTATATTATCTTTAAATATTTAGTATTATATTATATTTATCTTTAAATATTATGTATTTAAATATTATATTTGACTAAATATTATAACTAATATATAATTAATACTAAATATTATATATATACTACTAAATGTTATAATTATATATAATATTTAGATTGTATATATTATCTAAATATTATATATCTAATATTATATTATATTATATTTATCTAAATATTAGCTAACATATATATATAATATTTAAATAATATATATTGTCTAAATATTATATGTATATCTAATATTATAACTGACATATATATAATATTTAGATAACATAGATTATCTAAATGTATCTAATATTATATCTAATATTATATTATATTTATCTAAATATTATAATTAACATACATAATATAATATTTAGATAATATATATTGTCTAAATATTATACGTATATCTAATATTATATTATATTATATTTATAAATATTATAACATTAATATTATAATATTAATATAACTGACATTATATTTATAAATATTATAACTGACATATATATATAATATTTAGATAATATATATTATCTAAACATTATATATCTAATATTATATTACATTTATCTAAATATTATAACTAATATATGTATAATATTTAGATAATACATATTACCTAAATATTATATATCTAATTTATCTTTAAATATTATAATTAAATATTATATTATATTCTTCGTCGGCAGTTCTAGTGTTAAAAACGTATCTTTAAAAATTCTGAAACGTCTGAAATTACGTTCTAAATTAATGCGTCGGAAAGAGAGAGAAAGAGAGAGAAGAAAAAAAAACGAACGTAAAATTGAACGTCCGCCTTTTTGAAATTAAACACATAGCAAATCGCGCGATCACTCTCTTCTGAGAATAGGACACACTACCTACCTAGCATTAAATTAATCGTAGCAAAAGTTTAACGACCCGCGAAGTTGAAAAATCGACGTAATAAACCTGGCCTAAGTAGGATGCGAGTTAATGTAATAACGCTCGAATTGCCACTGTTTAAATGTCGTCAGGCTGTTTCAGTGCGAATTGACAGACGCTGGTTCGTTCCGAAAACGGCCGACGTCGGGAAAGAAACAAATGTCAGGAACAAATGAAAAATCGCGACGCTCCCTTCTCGCCTACCGATGCTGCACGTTGAACTTTACACTCTACGCACAAACGTTCCGCGTGTAATACATACTTCGACGCGCAGACATCAATTTTCTTTCGTTTCTCGTTTGTAACTTCGTTCGTTAGAAACGTTGATAACCTTTATCTATCCTTCGCGCGATCGAACTATCTGCTTACGTACGTACGTGTGCGCATGCTGCGTTCGAGCAATAGGCTCGATAGATCAGAGATCGATTTCTCACGGAACGTTTCTTCCAAAAAAAAAAAAAAAAAAGATATATGAGCGCGTCTAATTTTCATTTCGAAAACAAAATCTGTTTGTGCAATCTGTTTGTTCCAATAACGTGTTGCACGATAGCAGAAAGTTTCGAGAATCAAAATGATATTTTCTTGCGGCTCTTTATTACGTACAAAGTAGTTTTTTAAAGACAAGAATCCTAACTTTGTCGTTCCATAACAAAATCCGATAATTTTTGTCATTTGTTTCTTAATCAAGTCTGTCAGTACGTGCTCGACACTCGAATATTTCTATTCCTTGAATTATTACTAT